GCAACAGTACGATTCCTGGTACCTTCGTTGATTTTATTATTAATTTCATCATAACTATTCACTGGCCAAGTTGTCTGTGCTTCCACTGTAAAATAATTCAAACACATTATTTAAAGATGGGTTCCCTTATTTTCATTTATGAAAATGAAAATGCTAATACTTATATGAATAGAAAGTAGAGGTGTTCTAATGACATAATTAATTCATAATTAGCTAAATTAGAAGAGAATTACCAGCAGAATTCCAATGAGTGACAGATCAAGAAAGGTCAAAAAGTATTTTTTTTTGTTTATCCAGACTGTACATACATGGACATTTATGATTGGTTAAAACTTTTAGTTATATGCAATAAGAACATAATGATATGATTAAGAATACATGATAATTCATTAGAAACACCAATTAATCAAATAGTTTGCTTAATTTGACACCAAAAAATAAGGAAACCCATCTTTAATTATAACTGCACTTTTTAACAACATATCTAATCAAAAGAGCCCATGCTCGTCCATCTGGAGCATACACAAATCTAACACAATTTTCTTTTATAAAAATCTGACAAAAAACTGTCCCATCCATCACATTGTCAAACAGGATGAAATGACAAAAGCCACAGCTAATAAACTGTCCCATCAATCACATTCTCAAACAGGATAAAATGACAAGAGCCACAGCAAAAAAACTGTCCCATCCATCACATTCTCAAACAGGATAAATGACAAGAGCCACAGCAAAAAACTATCCCATCCATCACATTCTCAAACAGGATGAAATGACAAGAGCCACAGAAAAAAACTGTCCCATTCATCACATTCTCAAACAGGATGAAATGACAAGAGCCACAGCAAAAAACTGTCCCATCCATCACATTCTCTCACAAGATGAAATGACAAGAGCCACAGCAAAAAACTGTCCCATCCATCACATTCTTAAACAGGATAAATGACAACAGCCACAGCAAAAAAATTGTCCCATCCATCACATTCTCTCACACGATGAAATGACGAGCCACAGCAAAAATACTGTCCCATCCATCACATTCTCAAACAGGATGAATTCACACGAGCCAGAGCAAAAAAAGTGTCCCATCCATCACATCTCAAACAGGATAAATGACAAGAGCCAAAGCAAAAAACTGTCCCATCCATCACATTTTCAAACAGGATGAAATAACAAGAGCAACAGCATAAAAACTGTCCCATCCATCACATTCTCATACAGGATGAAATGACAAAAGCCACAGCTAAAAAACTGTCCCATCAATCACATTCTCAAACAGGATAAAATGACAAGAGCCACAGCAAAAAAACTGTCCCATCCATCACATTCTCAAACAGGATGAAATGACAAGAGCCACAGCAAAAAACTGTCCCATCCATCACATTCTTAAACAGGATGAAATGACAAGAGCCACAGCAAAAAACTGTCCCATTCATCACATTCTCAAACAGGATGAAATGACAAGAGCCACAGCAAAAAACTGTCCCATCCATCACATTCTCAAACAGGATGAAATGACAAGAGCAACAGCAAAAAACTGTCCCATCCATCACATTCTTAAACAGGATAAAATGACAAGAGCCACAGCTAAAAAACTGTCCCATCCATCACATTCTTAAACAGGATAAATGACAACAGCCACAGCAAAAAAATTGTCCCATCCATCACATTCTCTCACAAGATGAAATGACGAGCCACAGCAAAAATAATCCATCACATTCTCAAACAGGATGAATCGACACGAGCCAGAGCAAAAAAAGTGTCCCATCCATCACATCTCAAACAGGATAAATGACAAGAGCCACAGCAAAAAACTGTCCCATCCATCACATTTTCAAACAGGATGAAATGACAAAAGCCACAGCAAAAAAACTGTCCCACCCATCACATTCTCAAACAGGATGAAATGACAAGAGCCACAGCAAAAAAACTGTCCCATCCATCACATTCTCAAACAGGATGAAATGACAAGAGCCAGAGCAAAAAAACTGTCCCATCCATCACATTCTCACACAGGAGGAAATGACAAGAGCCACAGCAAAAAACCTGTCCCATCCATCACATTCTCACACAGGATGAAATGACAAGAGCCAGAGCAAAAAAAAGTGTCCCATCCATCACATTCTCAAACAAGATGAAATGACAAGAGCCACAGCAAAAAACTGTCCCATCCATCACATTCTCACACAGGATGAAATGACAAGAGCCACAGCAAGAAAACTGTCCCATCCATCACATTCTCACACAGGATGAAATGACAAGAGCCAGAGCAAAAAAAAGTGTCCCATCCATCACATTCTCAAACAGGATGAAATGACAAGAGCCACAGCAAAAAAAGTGTCCCATCCATCACATCTCAAACAGGATGAAATGACAAGAGCCACAGCTAAAAAAACTGTCCCATCCATCACATTCTCAAACAGGATGAAATGATAAGTGCCACAGCAAAAAAACTGTCCCATCCATCACATTCTCAAACAGGATGAAATGACAAGAGCCAGAGCAAAAAAAACTGTCCCATCCATCACATTCTCAAACAGGATGAAATGACCAGAGCCATAGCAAAAAACTGTCCCATCCATCACATTCTCACACAGGATGAAATGACAAGAGCCACAGCAAAAAAACTGTCCCATCCATCACATTCTCACACAGGATGAAATGACAAGAGCCAGAGCAAAAAAAAGTGTCCCATCCATCACATTCTCAAACAGGATGAAATGACAAGAGCCACAGCAAAAAACTGTCCCATCCATCACATCTCATATAGGATGAAATGACAAGAGCCTCAGCAAAAAAACTGTCCCATCCATCACATTCTCACACAGGATGAAATGATGAGCCACAGCAAAAATACTGTCCCATCCATCACATCTCAAACAGGATGAAATGACAAGAGCCACAGCTAAAAAACTGTCCCATCCATCACATCTCAAACAGGATGAAATGACAAGAGCCACAGCAATCTACGTCCACATTGTAAACAATTCAATGAAAAAGCATAATATAGTGATTCTTACCATAGAAGCCTTTAGTTGGATGCTGTCGAACTTTTAAGCCACCTTTTTGTAATGTTTTAGTATTAAGCAGATCTCGGACTTGTTCATTATAAATCTCCAACATACTTAAAGTTACCTGTAAAAAAACAAACAATGTTGTAGGCCAATAAGGCTCAACCTAAGCCATCTGTATAATTTTTCAGAATGAAAATATGACATATAGCTCAACTACAATTCAATAAACATATACTGGGAAAGCTAAGGCAATCATTTTTCAGAATGAAAATATGACATATAGCTCAACTACAATTCAATAAACATATACTGGGAAAGCTAAGGCAATAAGTAGCCTATCTGAAACATGTATTAATAAACAGATCTTGCAAGTGGTGTATCTATTAAAGATGGGTTCCCTTATTTTTATTCATGAAAATGAAAATGCAAATACTTATATGAATAGAAAGTAGAGGTGTTCTAATGACTTGGAAAAATACCAGTTTGTCTCACATGTCCATAATAAATGCATAATTAGCTAAATTAGATGAGAATTACCAGTAGAATTCCAATAAGTGACCAATCAAGAAATGTCAAAACGTCTTTGTTTTAAGACATAAAACAATATTCAACAAGACTCACCTGATATTCTTCATCTTTCTTAGCATTAACACGTTTATCAGCTATACCTTTAAATAGATCTTCACAAGCCAAGGGTACAATGCCCTTGTTATTACCATAGCCCACCATTGAGTAAGATTTACCACTACCAGTTTGACCATAGGCAAATAGAGAACAATTATAACCTTGCCAAGCATTTTCTAACACACCTTTTCCAAGATCATTAAATACTTTCAACTGAAAAAAAATTTAATTACCTTATTCTTCAAATTTAAGGCACGAAAAACTTTTTCAAATACAGAAAGGAATTTAAAGGGATTGTTTAGAAGTTTTTTAAATTTTAATCAGTCTTGGAAACAATAAAAGCATTGCTTTGCACTGTTACAATTTTCAGTCAAATGTCTAAGTTTCGTCAAATTCCATCAAGAAACCAGCTCTCTTTCGTGTCCACAAACAATTCACGAACAAGGGCAATAACTCATAGTAAATATTTTTTTTGATTTGTCTGATTTTCAATAGAGTTCATCCTTGGGTGATTACAAACACTCACACCAAGTTTCGTCAAAATCTATCAAGAAACCAGCTCTCTATCGTGTCAACAAACAATTCAAGAACAAGGGCAATAACTTATGGTAAATATTTTTCGATTCGTCTGATTTTCAATAGGCTTTATCCTTGGGTGATTACAAACACTCACACCAAGTTTCTTCAAAATCTATCAAGAAACCAGCTCTCTATCGTGTCAACAAACAATTCAAGAACAAGGGCAATAACTCATAGTAAATATTTTTCGATTTGTCTGATTTTCAATAGGTTCATCCTTGGGTGATTACAAACACTCACACCAAGTTTCGTCAAATTCTATCAAGAAACCAGCTCTCTATCGTGTCAACAAACAATTCAAGAACAAGGGCAATAACTTATGGTAAATATTTTTCGATTCGTCTGATTTTCAATAGGCTTTATCCTTGGGTGATTACAAACACTCACACCAAGTTTCTTCAAAATCTATCAAGAAACCAGCTCTCTATCGTGTCAACAAACAATTCAAGAACAAGGGCAATAACTCATAGTAAATATTTTTCGATTCGTCTGATTTTCAATAGGGTTCATCCTTGGGAGATTACAAACACTCACACCAAGTTTCGTCAAATTCCATCAAGAAACCAGCTCTCTATCATGTCCACAAACAATTACATTAATGTGTGAACGTGTACAAATTATGCAAAAGTTTATATAGTCATGTTTAGGTTGCATATGTTTTGAATCAAACCTGGATGAATACAAATATTTTTACTGGACTATAAAAGACTATAAATACCTGATCATCATATTTAGAAGAAGCTGGCTCTAGATAACCATCATCACGTTCTGTAAACTCATCATGGGACCAGTATGAATGATCAAAGGCAAACTTTCTTGGTTCAGCAGAGGGATTCTCTGGGTCTTTAATTTCGGTACTTTTACCATTCATTTGAATAATGAGTGAGGCATTTCTGCTCTTTTCTCTCTGGTTGTAAGACACATGTTAAGGACCATAATGACACAACTGGGCTGGTGACTCTTTCCAGTGGACAAAATGCCGTCAGGTTATTCTTTACTTTATTCATTCAATACTATGGCTTTATTGAGCTGTACATACTGTGACATCTTGCACTAGTAAGGAAGGACATGCATACTCTTTCTGAACACCTGATGCCACTCTTTGTCTTGGATTGTCAACTCGACATCCCCTCTAACTTATCTTGTTTTTTTGGTATATTAGTCAATCATTATTCATTTGAATAAGTATCATGTTAATGTAAATGTAATGTAACAATATTTAAATGTAATGTAACAATATTTAAATGTAATGTAACAATATTTAAATGTAATGTAACAGTTAATGTAAATGTAATGTAACAATATTTAAATGTAATGTAACAATATTTAAATGTAATGTAACAGTTAATGTAAATGTATTGTAACAATATTTAAATGTAATGTAACAGTTAATGTAAATGTAATGTAACAATATTTAAATGTAATGTAACAATATTTAAATGTAATGTAACAGTTAATGTAAATGTAATGTAACAATATTTAAATGTAATGTAACAATATTTAAATGTAATGTAACAGTTAATGTAAATGTATTGTAACAATATTTAAATGTAATGTAACAGTTAATGTAAATGTAATGTAACAATATTTAAATGTAATGTAACAGTTAATGTAAATGTGCTGAACCTTGTTAATGTAAGTGTTTTGTACTTGTTAATGTAAATGTGCTGAACCTTGTTAATGTAAATGTTTTGTACTTGATAATTTAAATCTACTGTTCTTATGAATGTAAATGTAAATTATAATAGTTAATGGTTGCTTTTAGTTTATAATCAATAAAATCGTGGAAATATAACAAGAATAATAAATTCGACCACAATATTTCAAAGTAACCTTATTAAATATTAATTAAGAACTTTTCAATGACCATTGTCATATCAATAATAATCAATACCATTATTTTATATTTTCTACTATCATTGTAGCCAGGTACCAGGGCATCAAGTTACTCTCCCAGAACAAGTTTGGCATTAAAACTAGCAAAGTTGTTTCCAAAATTGTTACATGCATTTCAGCTATCTATAATTCCTTAAAGTTAAATGGGTAGCTGAAATTAAGCTCTATCAGCTTGTAAAGCAAATATTAAATGGATTTATCTCTTAATCTCTTATTTATCCTCCCAATAGACAAACATACATGTATGCAAATCCCTTTAAAGATGGGTTCCCTTATTTTCATTTATGAAATTGAAAATGCTAATACTTATATGAATAGAAAGTAGAGGTGTTCTAATGACTTGGAAAAATACCAGTTTGTCTCACATGTCCATAATTAATTCATAATTAGCTAAATTAGAAGAGAATTACCAGCAGAATTTCAAAGAGTGGCCGATCAAGAAAGGTCAAAAAGTCTTTTTTTTGTTTATCCAGACTGTACATACATGGGCATTTATGATTGGTTAAAAC